AATGTAATGAAACAAGTTATATGAATTGTTGAATGTGAAACTGATGATGTGCCCTGTAAACTTTCACTCAATCCACAATAAAAACCTTAAATTAAAAAACAAAACAAAACAAAACAAAACAAAAACAGGATTTCAAAGTATAGATTCCTCAGGGAAAATAAAAGCACCTCCTTAATTTAACTCATCTAAGTTTGGTTTGGTTTATTCCCCAATTCCCATGATGTAAATAGTTCCACTGTCATGAATTTCAAATAATAGGATAAGCACTGAACTGCTAACCACAAGGTTAACAGTTCAAACCTACCCGCAGCTCTGCAGGAGAAAGATGAGGTTTTCTGCTCCCATAATGATTTACAGGGTCCCTATGAGTTGGAACTGGATAGCAGATTTGTGATTTTTGGGGGGCTAATATGATGTCACTTAACACGGATGTGGGAAAAAAAGTGTACACCATTTTCACTAGCTGGCTGTACAAATCAGCACACCACTGCTTGTCTGTCCTTTTGTAATAACTGTACACCAACTTTTACTCATTGTTCATAGTTCCTTTGGTATTTTTAAAGAATGTGCAGCCACAACCGGGCTCACAAACTTGACTTTGGGCCTTAAATGTTTCTTGAAATCTCAGAGGCATAGAGTATTCAATAAACATAGGTTAAGTTCCAGTGAAAAAAATCATGAGACAAATTATTTAATTTGTGGCTGATGAAATTTATATGAAGATTTTCAGACTACGGAGGCTCAAAAGTAAAAAAAAATTGGAAAACTATGGGCGCCTTTACTTACTCAATTGTGTTTCTGTCCACTTTTCCTGTCATGTTAATGCCATAGAACTGCTGCATAGCAGCTAGGGCTGACTGCATGGTCTCTGCAGAGCGCAGCACAGACATTCTGGGGTCAGTCGGTGGAAGGTAGCCGTACTTTTGTAACCAAACCTGCAAAGACAAGTACAGTTCCTTTTAGATCAACTTGTAATTTCACAGTAAGTTTTCGGTAATTAATTCATGTCTAATGCAGATCTTTTGAACATTATTTCCTCTAAAAGGACATACATTATTTATAGGTTTGGTCTATTTGTAATATATGTTACATAGTCTAGCTTATTGTAATATAACATCACTAGTTATTATTCAGTATTTTACATAATTATAAATCATTCTGTAAATACATGGGCATATATATGTAGTTGTTGTGAAGTGCTGTTGAGTTGATTCCAACCCATAGCGACCCTGTATAGGGTTTCCAAGGAGCAGCTGTTGAACTTAAACCGCCAACCTTACAGTTCAAACGGCTTTGCAGTCCAGCGCATTAACCCACAGCACCACACCAAGATATTATATATATATAAAATATATACATATATGTATTTTGTTAAATGCCATCAAGTCAGCAACCCTGTATACGGTTTGAATGGCTCGTGGGTGTGAACTACTAAATTTAAGATTAGCATTCCACTGCTTTCTTACAGTGCCATACCAGGACTGCATGCACACATACATATATCCATATACATACTTCGTATATACGTGCATGTGACTAATCATTTGACACTATAGTAAATAATGGTTTAAATCACAAATAAGATTGAAGATATCCTCCAGGTACTCAATCTCCCAAAATTAAGAATAACACTTGTCAATAATGTGACTCATTAAAACACTCATGCTGGAAGGGGCACAATATGTTCATGTCACATATAAAATATCATTCTTTCTTGAAATGGAAACGTGACTACAAAGGTGACCACTATCTTTATGGGAAATGCTCTTTATTATCACACATTTGGGGTATAAATTCTATGCAGTATACTCAATTACCACTAGGTAACTGTTTTTCCTGTACTGAACGTTCTTTCTTCATTTAAGTATGTCTTTAATACAAATCATGTAAGTAGAATTTTCATATGTAAATAGAGTCTAATGGTATTATTATTATTATTAAATAAATATACTGTTCTTGTTGTTGTTAGGTGCTATGGAGTCGGTTCCGACTCACAGTGACCCTACACAGGGTTTCCGAGGCTGTAAATCTTTACGGGAGCAGATTGCCTCCTCTTTCTTCCGCGGAACCGCTGGTAGTTTCGAACTGCTGACCTTGCGGCTGGCAGCCCGATTCGTAACCACTACGCTACCAGAGCTCCTTATTAAGTATACTAGGCCCTTTTTTTGTGTGTCAAGAATTTAATTTGTCACAATTACATCCCCAGTCCATTCCCAAACACTCACCACACCTTCCAGGGAAAGAGGGATCAGGGGAATAGTGAGGGGAAGAAGATGAAATTGAACTCACATTTATTCTTGTTTGGAATCGGAGCGATGATTCAGAGTCATTTACAATTAGATTGTTAAAATGAGGTATCTGGAAAAACATATCTCCACCAAATGCTTTCTAGTTTTACAACGGTACATATTCATTTTTAAGTGCAGAATCATATGTTCAGCCCATATCCCATGCTGCTGCCCTTTACCTCAATCTTCCCTGCAATTCTAAGCGTTTTTTCTAAGCTCAGCGAACAACCTGTGTAACTGATAAGAGCCAAGTATTCTGCTGCTGTTACAGAATAAGAGCTATGCCATTTATTGGAAAGTGCTCACCATGGTATATTTCCCTCACTATCCAGGTCCATTCATCATACAAATAAATGGTGATTCTAAGAAACTGCAGCATTACCCAATACATGATGTATTTCCTTTATGCATCGACAACAATAAAATTATTTGTTGTAACTATTTCCAAGTAAAAATCAATAGCAAATTTAGAAGTTAAATTTCACCAAAAGAAGCCAATACTAAGTATATAAAAGTCTCTATGTGAAAAACACAAGATGAGAAGTTTTGTGGGATTTCTAAGATAAGGACACTCTACCCCAAAAAGTACAGCAGACAACCCCTTAATAAGAAAATAAAATCTTTGTTCTAAAACAACTTAAGAGATGTGAAATTCATCACAGTTAAGATTTACTGGTGAAACTCAATCTCGTAAACTCATCTACCATACAGCTAAAACATGCCAAGGAACTCTTCTGTCTAATCCTTAATGAAGAGCTGCCAGAAAACATACATATATTTGGTTACCTAGTTACCAGTGATGAAGTCTGAAATCGATTCCATTTTTTCCTGAATGAATGAGATAGTATTACACTGGTAATTTAGTATTTAGTAGGAAATTCAACACTTATTATGCAATTTCCCCAAAATTAAAATACTTTATGTTGATTTTTAACAATATGCATACAACAGTGTTCTTATCCTGAGTTTCATTTCTATTCCATATTGTTTGCATTCACTTTTTACTTGCTGGAAAGCTGACTTGTTGCTAGGTTACTCATGAGTGCTAAGCTACTGATGTTTGGTGGTGGGGGTGGTTATTTGCCCTGAAGTCAGAACCGACTCATAGTGACCCTGTATAGTAAAGATAAAACTATTAATAATAAAACCTAAGATTTATAAACAAATAGAAGCACTGCATACAAATATAAATTTGAACTGAAAATGAAGAAATAGCATGGTATATATGTATGTGTATGTAGGCCTTAGTCATTTAAACAAATGATTTACAAAAATATAAAAAAATAAATTGCAACTTCATTTATTCTCAAATTTTCTTTTACATTATGTCTTTTATCATGAGAGATATTTTCAAAATGTTTGAAAGTGGGTAATTCTATTAAACTGTAAAATGCCCAAAAAAACTATGGAACATAGCATTTTATGGTCAAATTGTTTCCTGGCTGACAAATCAAAATTATTAAAGGTCATGAACTACCTTGAGTGGGTAGCACTTACAAACATAGTCATTTGTTAACCAAGAAACCTTTTTGGCCAGACTCTTAATGGTTTAGCAGTTATGATGTAGTTATCACTGCCATGATGAGATCGAAGATGATATAATCACTCCCCTGAAGGGATTTGATGTGATCAGCTCTGATCTCATGTAATTATCCTATGTGTTGTAAGTCCTCACTTCTACGATGCTAATGAGGAGCAGAGAGTCTCTGTAGTAGGAGAAGCACTGAACTTTGAACCACAAGGTCTGAGGTTCAAGCCTGCCCGCAGCTCCATGGAAGAAAGATGAAGCTTTCTGTTCCTGCAAAAATTTAGTCTCAGAAACCCTAGAGGCCAGGGGTTGGGAACCTTTTTTTCTGCCAGGGGCCATTTGGATATTTATAACATCATTCGTGGGCCATGCAACATTATCAACTTAAACATTAGCCTGCTATATTTTGTCAAAGATTTAATTAATTCATCCCTAATGAGATGGCTGAAACTGCGGTTGCCTTGGAAGGACCAAACCAAATGATTTCCAGGGCTTTCTAGGCTCCTTTGAAAACCCTATACAGGATCAATATGGGTTGGAACCAACTCAATGACACTTAACAATATGGCCTACAGGCCAGACATTTCCCACCCTTGCTAGAGCATCACTATGATTCTGAATCAGAACTGACTCAAAAGTATTTAACAACAACAACAACAACAATGATGTTAATAAAACCAGATGCAATCTACAGAATTAGGTTATATCGAGTTAATCTCTTCTGAGATACAAAAGGAGAAAGAAGTGCTGAGAGTTCAGTGGATGTCTACTATCACCAAGAAAGAAGAGCCACAAATGGAGTGTGTCCTTCAGACCTGGAGTCTCTACATTATAAAGCTCCTAGATGCAGAGGAAGATGAATGCCAAGATATCTGGAGATCTCCAAGGAATACTGTACCAACAGATGCTAAAAGGAGACAAGGACCTTTCCCCAGAGCCAACAAGGAGAAAGACTTACTCTAGAGCAGGCACTCTGAATTTGGAATTCTAGTGTAACACTGAACGATAAGCACTGGACCACAAGATCAGTCTGAACCACAAGGTCAGCAGTTCAAATTCACCAACAACACCTAAGGAACCCTATGCAGGATCACTGAGTCAGAACTGACTTGATAGCATTTAACAACAACAATAAACTGTGAGAAAATGAATTCCTGGTTGTTAAAGCCATCCTCATTTCTGTTATTGCAGCACTACATAACTAAAACAAACACATCTAAATTTTAGCACTTACTATGAAAAATACCAAGGTAGAAAATATATTTTACAATGTTTATTTAGTAACAGTCTATAGGACATATTTCCTTTATTATTTTGGGATATATCCTTTAAAAATAATGGACTACATATCAACTTGTAACATATTAGCAAAAAATTTAAATGTAAAGTAAAAATATATATGCTTCTATAACTGTCTCAGATGAAATATAATTAAAAGAAAGTATTTTTAATAGTCAAATTCTTTGCTAGAAAAAAAAAATCAAATTGCATTTCTGAGTATGGGCATTCCAAATATGAGAGCACAGTGGCTCCATGGGATAAGCACTGGGCTGTGAACTAAAAGAGCCACAGTTCGAGCCTCATAGCCCCTCCTCGGAAGACTATAGCAGCTATGGGACAAAACTTTTCAGACAGTAATGTGTAATTTCACAGAGGAAAAGCAACAACGCTTAGCTGGGTTGCTTTACCAAGAACTGTGCGAAACAGTGCAGAATATTACAGTATTCTCTTTATCAGCAACTGTTTAGCACATTGACTACTACATGGTAAACTAACCCAGTTAAGGTCTGCTGCTGTTTTCTGTGGAGTTCAGCCATTACTATATGAAGAGTTTTACCCCTTAACTGCAGTATTCTCCATTGGAAAGTTGAATTCAGTCACAGGTACGTTCTTTTGTAGAATGGATAAAGCTTAGACCAGCCTTTGCACTTTGAAAGTGTTGAGTTTTAATCATAAATGAGAGAGTTTCATATTAAGGTGGAAATAAGGTCACAGAGATGATTAGTCTGTTGTAAGGTGAAATCCAGATGATTCCAACTCCCATTGACCATATGGGACATTTTCCCATAGGGTTTCTAGCCTGGTCTGCTGCTGTGGGTTAATACACTGGACTGCAAAG